TTCCTCTGGAAAAATATTTATTAGTTGGATATTATTATGGCCTCAGTAGAAAGAATGAGAATAGTTCCTAATTTTGATGTCAGAGAGAGAGAGAGAGAAGGGATGGCTGTCCATCATTATTGAAAGCATAGATCAAATATGAAATTTGATGAAAATCCCAAAGACTTTGCTGTTCAGACCAACAGTCCTTAGCTTTTCATTTGGAACCCCTATCCTCATGATACCGCAAAGTAAATACACGTAGTGGTGACATTATGGGCCGTAGGGTCCTACAAACCTAGGTTTGAATTCAGTCTCTTCTCCTACTAGATGTGTGGCTTTTAGCAAGTTATTTAATCCATTTGTGCCTCAGTTTCCTCATTTGTTCAGTGGAAATAATAGCACTTTCATAATACGGGTCTTCTGAGGAGTAAATAATAAGCTATATTTCAAGTACTTAGCATAATTGTGGCACCTGGAAAAGACTTGTTAGATGAGAAAAACAATTATGGTTCTGACTTATTGAGCCAGTCTCTGGAAGGGAGGTTGATTGAGATCCTCTGAAGGCATGAGACTTTGGCAAAGAGCCTCTTCTTTAAAGTTGAGGAAGACAATGAAATCAGAGGAGAATGAAGTTGTGTCTATTAAGGGAAAATGAAGACAAAACGGAGACTAAGCTCTTATCAAGTGGCATGACCCTGCATTCCAGGAGCCAAGGAGACTGGATGATGAACCGTACTTGGGAGTAAATAGGAGATGTTCTGGGACTATTGGTTGTCCTGGCTTGGGCTTTATATGTCAGTTTGGTGTGGTATGCACACAGAGCCAGAGGTTGGATGGAAAGTTCTCCAAGACTTTCTAAGTCACATAAGCCATTGTTTTCTATCCATCTTACTTTTCCCCACTCTATTCTGTAAAGGTTCTTCCTGTTGGATAGTTGGGAGGCTTTTTCTTCTTTCTCATTCTGTAAGTTCACCAGTTTGCTTTTCTTTACTCGTTTCACTTCTAACTGTACAATGTCTGTTGTGACACTCAGGACTTCCAACTAGGTCTAGTAATTTAATGTATGAGCATTAGTCTTATGTCCAGACCCTCCTTTCCTACTTCCAGCTGTTTAACTTTGGTTAAGTGACTTCATATCTCTGCGACCTCAGTTGACTCATCCGTAAAATGAAGAAACGAAGTTGCACATTTCTGTTAATAAGGTGGTCAAAGCTTGGGTATTTCTTCTCTGTCTAAAAGAAGTAATCTCGGGCCGGCCCAGTGGCGCGATGGTTAAGAACTGGCTTGTGACACCAGAGGGCCCCGGTTCGGATCCCACATATGAGGGCCAGTGACACTGCCCTC